CAACAACTTTTGACATTGCCAGTCCTATGATAACCCACTACTATTATGGACTACTGGACTATATTGGATTACTTTGCTGAATTCACACACCTACAATATTTAAATGGCAATAGAATACCAACCTTTGACAAAACTAAACAAAATTGGGGATATAAATAAAGAACCATTTTGTATCTGTATATACAAAATAATTCAGAGAGATACACAGCTACTTTCTCTTAATTTAATGAGAAGAAAGATTTGCACTAATAGGGTTTGGACAGAATATCATGTCTGCATCTTGTACTATGAATAACCACTATGAAGACAACAAAATGCAATGTACTAATTACTGAAACTGTCTTACTAATCAGTTTTGAAACTGTCTCATTGCCATTTGTTTCTCAATAAAATTAATAAATTTTTAAAAAAAGAGATACTGTGGAAGAAAAGGAAGGAGACTAGGGAAGGGAAGAAGGTGAAAAGATGTCATAGGGGGAAAGGGAAAGGAGAAGGGTTAACAAATGTCTTATGCATGTATGAGTGTGCCAGAGTACAACCCAGTGGTCTATGTAATATGTAATTGAAAAAAAAGTATTTCCCAATCTCAACAAAGGCACTGAACACCCCCAAAACAAAGCAAGCTCCATCGGGCTTGTTTCTAACAATCTACGCTCTGTGCCAAATCCCAACTTATCACGAGCATTTGTCATAAAGGATGAGTCAGAAGTTTTGGTGTAAAGCCTAAAGCAGTCTCAAAACAATCTGAGACTACGATGTGTGGTAGAAAGACGAGTCTGTACAACACTGCTGTGCCGGGTTCCAGCCCACACATCGTGCGTCTTATGCTACACTGTCAGGTTCTGGGAAAACAGTTTAGACAGGAAGCTGGGGGGGTGGGCCAAGGCCACGTCTCTGAACACAGGACAAAGGAAACTTAAAGTTTCCTTTCAGAAAGAGCGCCAGGCTGTGAGCAAATACTATATACATGATGTCTATGGCTTTCCACAAGGGAAAGGATTTCGTGCCTGCCTCCTAGACAAGATGGAAAAGGTGGGCTAGTGGATGTCATAGTGATTAGGTATGCTCATAGAAACCTGGATAGAGAATCACAAAGCAGAGGAGGGCGAGTTGGGTGTGGTGCTGCACGCCTACAATCAGAGCTCTTGGGAGGCTGAGGCAGGAGGGTCACCATGAATTCCATGTCAATGGAGGCTATGTAGTGAGTTCAAGGCCAACTTGGAATGCATAGTGTAAAAGCACACACAGGAAGGAAGGAAGGAGGGAGGGAGGGAGGGAGGGAAGGAAGGAAGGAAGGAAGGAAGGAAGGAAGGGAGGGAGGGAGGGGAGGAGGGAGGGATGGACAGACAGACAGAGAGGCTGATGTCCCTGAGGCTCCCTGATCCACCACAGAGATCTGAGGCAGTTACCACTTTTATTAATGACTAGATAAGGTAAAGAGTTATCAAATCTGAAAGCATTAACAAGTTAGAAAGTAAAACTAGGTTTGGGATATCAAAGCAAAGATTCTAAGCAGGCTAAAACAATGGATAAGACCAGCATGAAGACATTAAGTATGAATAAAATACTTCAATTCAGGTTTTAAAAGAATCAACAAACTTTAAAACAGTAAAGATGTGCTATACTAGCAAGTCTTGCAAGTGGAAAGTGTTTTAAAGATTAAATTGGTTTGCAGTTACAAGAATGATGCTATAATTTCAGGCCATATGAAAAAAAGGAAATTTCTGGACTCTGAGAAAGCTTTCTTAACACATAAGAACATTAAGCATAAAGTAAAATTGTGACAAAATTTGGCAATATTAAAATTAAAGCCCGATGTGGTGGCACAAGCCTGTAATACCAGCACTCAGGAGGCTGAAGCAGTAGGATTGCTGCAAGTTCAAGGCTAGCCTGGGCTATATAGTGAGTTCAAAGTTGACCTCTACTGCATAGAAAGACTGTATTAAAAAAAAAACTATACAGTTAAGGAGTTCTGTTCATCAAAAGCTATCATTAAGATATGATAAGGCAGGCTGGGGAGATAGCTCAGCGGTGTAAGCGCTTTCCTGGCAAGCACAAGGACTCAAGTTTGGTCCCTGGTATTGCATGCCATGCCAGCCTCAGAACCGGGTGTGGTGTCTCACGGCTGTAATCCCAGTGCTGGGGAGGCTGAGACAGGAGGAGCATGACAAGTCTGAACTGTGTAGTGAGACCCTGTATCCAATAAATAAATAAAATATTTTTTAAAAAGACATAAGGCAAGCTATATAGATGTTTATAATACACCTAAGACTCAAGTAGAATATATAAAGAACATCTACAGTATCAAGCAGATCAAAAATATCAAACTAAAAACTCAAACAGATTTTGCTTTAAAAATTAAAAAGTCTGTCATCTCAATGAGATAAATGCAAATTAAAGCCGCATTTCCTTTGTGTTCAGACAACAGAACACTACAGAAAAATAACTGTGTAAACCATATAGTATTGTCACATTAGTGAAATATATTTTAGTAATCTGTATTAATTGTACAAATTGTTGTTACCCTGACCTTTCCATACCTGCATGTAGTTCACACGTGCCATACCCATCCCACCTTGCCCTCTTCGCTCCCTTCCCCCTCCCTGTCTCCTAGCTACTCCTCTCCCTCCACTTTAAAGAATTTTACAGTACAATACTAAGAGAATAAGAAATGGAATGGGTGGGTTCCATCTGTCTTCATAGAGCTCTGGCCACTCCCTCATCCTGGAAAATCAAGGATTACATGTCTATTTCCTTGAGGCTGAAATGATAACAACATTTTAAAAGTGAAAGGGAAGAGATTCCCAGAAAGGGTGGGCCAAGGTATCAGGTGCCCTCAGATTTTTAGCTCTAGAGGTTTATTCAAGAGGGCTTAATAATAATTTTTTGAAGTCAAGGTATGTTTTGTTTACTCTTCCAAGTGTGTACCACACTTTGCAATTTTATGAAAAATGGGAGAAATTTTTTTAAAAAGGAAATGGCCAAACCATAAAATCTCTGGCAGCTAACACAGCGAGACCCAAAGCAGGGTAGGACGCCAAAGCAAAGTTCTCCTTCATTCTGTGCGCAGAATGGCAAATGGCTACAGTAGACCACTCTCCCAGTCTAAAGAGTACAAGTGGGAAACTTTGAAGCGCTCACTACTGTTTTCTTCTATTTTCAACGTAGAAAGTGAAGACAATGACTTCAGATCTGCCGAAGCTGTCAATGAATCTCTTCTCAGAATCCACTACTAGAAATATTACAAGGGCATAACTTACCCAGCGGGTACTATTGACAGTCCTGAATCGCAGTATATACTTCAAATCAAATGAATGAGATGTCCACTCTATTTGAAGCATTCTTTTGATGCCCAAAACTGGCTTCACACTCAAAATCTCAGGTGTTATAGTTTTCACTGAAAATAAAAATAACACAAATCTCATATTTGCAAAAATGACCAGAAGACACTAAGAACATGCACCTAAAAAAATAATCCACCTAAAATCAAAAGTAAAGTAAGCCTAGAATGGAAATGATAGTGCATGTTCTGCTGCCTGCTAGGTACGGATGACATTAGCAACACAGTGAGACAGGTACGCCACCTCCTGCCCCTGTTATTGCCAAAGAAACCCCAGGGGAAAGAGAATTATTCCTGTGAATATTCAGCAAATCAGCCTTGTACTAATGGATCAAAGCTTTTCACAAGGTGGAGCTATGTAGTTTTAAAAAGCTAGCTCGCTTTTTTTTTTTCTTAAATATTTATTTGGTACAGGGTTCTGTTACGCAGTTCAGATTCAAGTGATCCTCCTGTCTCAGCTTCCTAGTGCTGGGATTACAGGCATGCCCCACTGTGCCCAGTTTCAGGGCTCGTACTGCATGCAGTACCAGGGATCGAACTTGGGGCCTTGCATTTGCCAGACAGATGCTTAGATGGCCGAGCTATCTCCCCAGCACTGGGATTACAGGCGAGAGGCATCATGCTGAACAGATGGATCATATCTTATGTCAGGCAGAAAGAAGGTAAAATACACAGCCACAATATTAATACAATTATAAACAAGCCCAGTTTATAGAATAAACTATGCTAGAATTTTTAAAGAGAGAGGAAGAGGTTAGACCCCGGAAAGTGGGCTGCTCCCTTTCCCTATGCTCTGCTCCCTGGGCCTCTTTCCCGACTCCCAGGATGAGCACAGGCTCACTAGAAAGTGCCCCTCACTTGCCTCGCACGCTGCACACATTCTGGCCCCAAAGCCCTCTCCTTGAAAATACTTTTTTTTTTTTTTATTTTGTGGAACTGGGGATGGAACTCAGGCCCAGGCCCTTGCCCTTGCCAGGAAAGCACTTATTCCACTGAGCCATCTCCCAGGCTGAAAATACATTTTTTATGGTTATAAAAGTAGCACATGCGGGCCAGCCAGATAGCTCAGCAGAGTAAAGCACCTACTTAGGCAGAGCGCAGGCACCAGGGTTCAATCCCTGGCACCACAAGCCGTGATGGCCTGCCCCTGGGGCACACTGAGACTATGACTAATACTGCATGTGGTGGTGCACGCCTGTAATCCCAGCACTTGGGAGGCTGACAACAGGAGGGTCACTACAAGTCCGATCTGTGTAGTGAGACCCTGTAGACCCTGTACACTAAATACATAAAAGTCACATATGCTCAATTTTTAAACATAAAAATCACTAAGAAAATGTAAAAATCACAATTCAGTCCATCAGAGATAACTTGTTGATATTTTGATACATTTCCATTCACAGTTATTTCTGTGTATTTGTATATCTTTTAAACAAAATTGATATGCTAGATCAAGATTTTGCCTTCTGAAATAACTTCAATTTTCTAGTAAACATTATTATCTATTAAAAATTCCTCAAGTTGTCTTTTAAAAGCTTCACAGTACTCAATGGATGAATGATATTCATTTGACCACTTTTTTACTACTACACTTTCACAGCATTTCCAATATTTCACTTAGAAGACAAAAGGGAGAAGCTAGTCTTAATCAGAGAGACGCGAGGCTTGATCAGTCTAGAATTAACACCATGCACATCACAGGTATCAAACATGTCTTAAATAAATGAGTAAGTGTATAAGAGTTGAATCTTTTCCTGCCTCTCTGATGGGCTCCTTAGATCCTTACAACAGCCTGTCTGCGTAAAAGAACATAAGCATTTTTAGGCTTACTGGCATAAGGGCCATTTTTCTTTCTAAAAAGTTTACAACAACTTCTATCAACAGTGTGTGAATGCCCATCTTACTGCATGTTTCCTAACTGGAATTTAATAATACCATTTTAATCTTTGTAATTGCTGAAAGATTTTGGAGAGCAAAAAATCCCTACTTCAGCCATGGAATTAAAAACATCAGGTAAAAATACAGTTCTTGGTGGCTACTCTAAAAGTAATGTGCATTCATTATACCTTACCAAAGGGTGGTCATCAATCTAGATTCCTACTCCATGGGTAAACTTTAGACATATTAAGGATTTCCATAAGTTTATGCATACATATGGGCATTTGCGGTACCAGGGATTGAACTCCAGACCTTGCACTTGCCAGGCAGGCACTTATGCCACTGAGCTATATCCTTGGCTCTACACACAGGCACTCGATACATTATATTTTAGGAAAATTATTTTGCTGATTCTTAATCTCCTAAATTTAGGACACCCACTTCACAGAAGAGATATACAGAAGATAAATAAATTCCTAATAATAAGCTATGTTAATTTTCACTTGTTTTGAGCATAAGATAAAAGAGTCCCTGTCATTACTCATTACACTGGACTATGTCCTGTCAGAGTATAAATTCTTCTTCAATCTCCACCCAACTCTACAACACTATCACTAAGCACATACAAGTTAGTAGGTTTGTTTTGTTTTTTTTTCTTCTGATGAAAATGGCCCTCAGGAGAACTCATCATGATCTGATGTATATCAAGAGACATTAGCAGACCTCAGTCACACTCTAACCTATCTGAAAGCAGATTGGTGGGATTGTTTTTGCCTGATTTGAATATCACATTGGAATAGTGACAGGAGGTGCTCATGAAAGTTGCAGGGAGACCACCCATCTACAGAAGCCTGGGGCAAGGCATTATGGGTGGAGACATATTACAGAAGTGTAGAAAACTAAACGAGATTCCCCAGGAAAGTAAAACATTCAAAAGCAGTTATGTGCGTACATAACTTGGGAAAGATGCACACTCAAAAAACGACTTGAGAAGGTCTTTTATTTAAGCCCAGCCAATCTATGAAGGATGGTCTGATAATAGAGCCCAGCTGAAAAGACTAGGCATTGTAGCTACTCTTGCAATGCCTAGTTTTCAACAACAAAAAAAATGTTGTGACTACAAAGAAACAAAAATAGAGCCTGCCAAAAGAAACAAAATAAGCCAGGATTTTTTTGAAGCCACCCAGATATTGACTTTTTAAATAGTTTAAAGAGAATTGTCTTAAATATGTTCAAGGCGAGCAGTATGGGCTGAACAAGGGCACCACCACCAGCATGGCAACCAGGCACAGGCCTTGGCTAGCTGAGGTCAGGGCACTGCCCGGCCTCACCACCAATCTGGCTTTGATTAGGGAACTAACAATGAACTGGGAGCACCAGAGGAAGTTTTTAAAATAATGTTTTCTATTCTTATTTTTTTAATTTGGAAGGGCAATGTATAGGTTTTGACCGTTATTGTTTGGTTTGTTCTCTCTGTCCTGCATCTTTCCTCACCAGTCTTTTGTATTCTCTGAGATTTATAGGTGAATGAACACTGTCTCTAGTCTTTGTGTTTTGCTTCCAAATTCTTTTGTTTTCTCCTTTATTCTTTCTCTCCTATTCTCTTCCTTCGCTTCCCAAAATTGGGGCGATCATCCTTAGCCTAGAGCCTTGATTCTACTACATTTCGCTTCAGTTATTACCATTTTGTCTCTTATTCCCCTTCCTCATAGGATAAAACCATCCTACCAAGGGAAAACCCACTGTGTACAAATTCCTGGCCTATCTTGCTGCTGGAGGTTGTTATATAACTATTTATACCAAAATAGCAGTCACCAGAGAAGATCAGTTTCTAGGCTATGCTTGATGATAGTGTCATTATTTATGGTACTACTTTAGCCAAGATGCCATATTTGTTGTAATAAGCTATTTGTATAACACTGTGACAACCTGGGAGCACAAACAGCTACATGGCCCTGTACTTAGACGGGGTGCTGAGCTGAATAGCAATACATCATCCCCAATAAAGTGGGAAGGTAAGATACTGGGACAGACACAAAAACCAACAACCAGCTACACCCAGACAACATCTCAGAGGAATAGACATCTCCTAGGAAAGCTTTGATACTAATAATAAAGCTTAATATAAGAAAAATACAATCAAAACAAATCAAAATAAAAAACAGAAAAATGACAAGACACAGAAGCAAAATGCAACGCCACACTCCCAATCTGCCAAGGACAAATCCATGGGACAATGAGATAGAAGAAAACAGAAACCATACACTTGAATTCACTGGAATGACAATAGAGGAAATATTTAAAATATACAGCAGGCTATAAAGGATATAAAAGCAGAAATAATATCACAGGTTAAAAAAATGATGATCATAATGGAAGACTTGTTTAGCAAATCTAGAGTAGACATACAAAAAAAGAGGAGCACAGAAAAATAATAGAAATCATATGTTCATGCCCAACATATGAAGAAACAAATGAAATGCATGAAACACATTCAAATAGATACTTGGAACATAATAAATTCCACTGAAAGTTTGAAAAAAACATGTAGAAGAAAGCAAAGATGGATTATCAGACTTAAAAAACAATATTGTAGTTAGTGAAAACAAAAAGAAAGATTTCTTCAAAATAGCAAGGGACCACGAAAAAAACAATCCAGTAACTGCAAGTCGATGCAAAGAACATGAGATAGAATGGAGTCCTTGAAAATGCAGGAGAAAGCACAAATGACATTAAGAGAAAACATGTTCAAAAAAAGCAATAACCAAAAACTTCCCAAGCATGGTGTGCTGGCTTGACAACTGGTAGTCAACTTGTAACACCCAGCTGAACTGAACTAGTGTGGTTCTGGGTGTGGGAGGACAACCTGAGGGTAGTTGCCAAGAAAATTAAAAGGAGGACTAGAGAGGAGGAAGAGAAGCTGTTGGAAGGCTGTAGGGAGCTGTTGGTTTTCTGGCAGGATTTTTTTTTTTTTTTTTTTTTTTTTTTTTTTTTTTGCTGTTTTTTTCTTTTTTTTATGAACTTGGCTATTTTTATCATAGAAGGAACTGGGGACCATACTGTCACTGAGAATGACAATAGTTGACTTTGGAAGAGCTCTGGTCCTCACTCTGAACATTGTTTCCTGGCTCTGAGGGGAAGATGATGCACTGCCCAGTCCCCTGGAGAAGATTACCACA